CTGACTTAACTGTGGCTTCAAAAACTTTGTATTTTACGGGCAGTGACACTTTCGGATTTCCTAAGACATTTATCCAGGTACAATTAATAGCCAATTTAGCTTCCTTTAACTTCTCGTTCAAGTGGTTATCGAATTTTGCGTTATATTTCATATTTATTCCTAAATATTTATAATTATTAACCACTTCTAATTGATCATCGTTAAGGTACCATTTTTCATCATTTCTCAATCTTCTAGCATGTTTCCTAAATACCATCACTTTTGATTTGTCTGTATTTATAGATAGTCCCCATAAGTTGCAATATCTATTTAATTCATCTATCATGTTTTGTAACATTATTGGAGAATCTGCAAACAACACAATATCATCAGCATATAATAGTACTTTTAGGCACATATTGGCAATCGTAACACCACAAGAAAGAAATTTACTTAAGTCATCAACGAACAGTGCAAACAATATAGGGCTTAAGACACAACCTTGTCTCGCTCCGGTACACGTTTGGAACCATCTTGAAGTACTTCTTCCGTCCCATACTGTTGACTCATTGTTGCAGTATAGACTTTGCAGTATTTTGAAAATTTTTGTTGAAAGACCCAGCTGGCTTAGTTTGTAAAATAGTACGTTTCTTTGTATTGTATCGAAAGCAGCTTTTAGATCTACGTAAAAAACATATAACTTCTTGCTTTTTGCAATAAACTCTTGCGCTATACTAGTGATGACGAAAATATTATCTACCGTGGAGTAACCTTTTCGAAATCCAGCTTGAAATTCGCTTAATATGTTGTTTTGATCAACCCAATTTTTAATTCTGTTATACAGGAGTATTGTAAAGACTTTAGCTGATGTATTAAGAAATGCTATTCCTCTATAATTTGCTACATTATTTGGGTCACCTTTTTTAAATAGGGGAAATGTTATGGCTTTTTTGTAACTATCAGGTGGGGCTGCATTTTCAAATATATAATTGTATGATTCAGCCATATGCTCTATAAATTGTGGCGTGGCATATTTTAAAAACTCAGCTGGAATTCTGTTTTCACCTGCGGCTTTGTTATTTTTTAAATTCTGGAGCACTGCATAGACCTCTTCAATCTTTATTGGAGCATCTAACGCTTCATTTATTACATACGGCAGGGCATAACTGAAAGACTTGCTTACTATATTGCTATTTAACTGGTTTTTAAAATGTGCCGCCAAAGCTTCGGCGTCCACTTTAATTCCTTTTATGTGATCTGCACGATTTATTTTTTTAACTCCACTCCAAAATGATTTACTATCAGCTGCTTGGGATATCGACATTGCCATTTCATTCAAATATGACTTCCTTTTCTCATCACACAGCTTTTTGTATTCTCTGTTTACATTTTTGTATTTCTCTAAATCAGCTATATCACCACCTTTTTTAACTGTTTTTAGCCATTTAAATGATTTCTTTCTTGCAGTTTCACATTCAAAATCATACCATTTTTGTTTCCTATTTATACCCGCCGAATTACCCTGAAACGATTTTGCTGCTTGTTTTACACAATATTGAAGAATGTCATCTCCTTCCTTCGACGCAAATGTACTACCTTCGCATGCATTAAGGGATTCTTCAAGCTTTTCTTGGTACAGATCTTTATATTTATCTTTCCATATCAGTTTCGGTAGCAACTGCATTTTATTTTCATTTGAATTAGAGGCATCTAGATTTACCATAATTTCCAGTGGCTGATGATCCGAGTATATCATATATAGACATGACTGTATTAGTTGTTTGGTTAGATGTTGCTGAAGAATTATTACTGCTAGCAGTGTCTATGCTGCTAGTATTGTCTTCTGAAGTGGACATATTTACTAAATAAAGTCTTGTTTTATTGTAATTATGGAAAAAGTTTTCTTTTAGTATGTTAGTTTCTTCTAATTTTGAGGTTATATACAGTGAATTCACCTCTTTTTTTAGATTCTCTAACCTAAGTAATTTGTTTTCTATTGTTTGTCTAGTGTATCCTCTACTACTTGATTTCTTTGCGTTGTTAAAAATTAATTGTACCTCTCCTAGATTTTTTATGATTGTGTCCATGAGACAACAATATTGTTAAAGCGATTGAGTGGAATTAGATTAGCAATAGGGTTAAAACTTTCAAGAGAATAGTGGGACAACGAATCAATATTATAATAAGCTAGTCAAGTATACAACAGTCATATAATTTTCATCAGTTATTATAAACTTTAACATTACAACGTTCCATCTATATGTTTTCATTATTACATTTATTTAAAAAAAAAATTTTTACTTAATTTAAATTTATACAATTACATTTTATTACTTATCATTTAACAAGTGTAATTATTTATTTGTATATTTATTATATAATAAAAAAATTTCATAGGTATATTTGAATTACATAATTTTAGTATAAGAAAAAAAATTTTTTGGAATATTTTCATGCATTTGTTTTATATATATTTCTTTTTTAAATATTTTAAATTTATTTTACACATCATTGCCTATATTCCTTCGTACATGTTTATGTACATATTTTTTAATGTATTTATCTATCTTGTAGGCAATGAATATAATTAAAGCTACTAGTAATAATGTAATAAGTGCTACCTGTAAATTTCCTGAGGATGTTGTTTGGCTGTTGTTTATGTTGTTTGTTACATCGGTCTTCTGTTGTTGTTTATTTCCCACGTTGTATTCATCGCTGGAGAACCATCCCATTTTGTCTTCTTTTTTATGTACTTTGTTTACTGCTTACTTGAGTCTGTGTTATTTGTGTAATTAATGAATTTAGTTTTAGATAACTTAATGTTCAAAACGCTTCGCATATTGATTAATCATTAATTTTGACACTAAAATTTAATTCTTTGATAATTGAATAATTATTTCAATGGGCATTATTATTTTGAATTCTCACTTTCATCAAATGGATTATATTATTGAATTTAAATTTTTAATAAATTCATTTTTAAAACGTTTTATTTAATGTTTATTTATTTATTGTCACTTAAATTTTCAATTTCATCAAATGGATTGAATTTAAATTTTAAATAAATTTATTTTTAAAACGCTTTATTTAATGTTTATTTATACATTGTTATTGTCACTAAAATTTATATATATTTTTTTTTTTTTTGTAATAGACTGAATGTTTCAATAGACATTATTGTTTTGAACTATAACTTTCTCACTATAATATTGAATTTAAAAATAAATTCCTTTTTTAAAAACATTTTATTTAATGTTTATTTACACTTTATTATTGTCACTAATATTTATTTCGTTTCTCATATTTGAGTTTTTATTAATTTAGGATTTCAAAATTTTTGGTGCTTAGCCGTTTTGGCAGGATCGCCATGTAATAATAAGATTATATTTTATTTGGTCGTTAGATTTTTGTATAAGTAAAACAACTTCCCGTTTTGCTCGTCATGTTAAGACTGATTTTTATTTTTATATTTTCCTTAAATCTAACATAATTTCTTATGACTAATTTCCAATAGAATCTTATCTAATGATTCTATTGGTTAATACTTAAATTACTATCGTCTAATTGGTTAACCCAAATTAGACGTATATAATGTTTTACAACAAAAATAGTTTACATTTATCAGTTATATTCTATTTCACAGTGGCACACATCTGGTGACCAACTGTATTGAGGGTAAATCATATTGCATGCACAATTGCTTGCAATATGATCTGTGAAACACTTAACACAAATTCATGTGCTGAGCATGCCGCAATCTAAATTGTCAAATGCATATTGGAACAATTAAATATGCATACAAATATTTTGTCATAAAGAAATGACAAAAAAAGACGAGTCAAATTTCTGACTCATAAATTATATCATACTTGACAATTTAGGTTTTTCGGTCATGCTTGATATTTGAGTGTTTCGGTTTGATGTGACACATTAAATATCGCACACAACGTATTGTGTGTGGTCATGGTTAATATGCCACTACAGTGGTGTGCGTACGGCAACTTTAATATGCTGAATATTGTTACTATTACAATAAGCTTCGAACGCTGAGGATGTAAAAGCTGTACCTCTATCAGTAACGATTTTACTGGGAAGACCAAAATACAATGTTAGTTGATTAAGTGTTTCTAGTACAGGTTTGGTTTTCGTTAATTTAACAGCAACAGTTACAACATATCTAGTTAATGCATCCACGATCACTATGATATATTCATTACCACTGCAGCTTCTAATAAAAGGTCTTAGATGGTCCATATGTCTTACCTCGAACGGCACCCTCGGTATCTCCATACCATATAGTTGACATTCTTTCTTTACTGTACTTCGATTATAACAACATTCAGTGCATGATTTGATGTACCCCTTAACAAAATTTCGACATCGAGGAAACCAAAAATGTTGTTTAATACGTTTTATTGTGCCATCCACACCTGGATGACCAGCATCATCATGACAAAGTTTCACAATTCTCCATCGTATTCCTTTTGGTATGACCAGTAACTCTTTCCCATCATGATGTCTTCTATAGAGCCGATTTCCCTTTAAAATGAATTCCTTCTCATGCTGCTCTCGCTCTGTTGAATCGACACGTCCTTTTAAAATATCAATGATCTGTTGTAAATTTGCATCTTGCTGTTGCATTGTCAAAATCTAATCCTCATTCGAAATGTCAATCATCATTAAATTTGCAGATACAACTTCGCATGGCGGTTCAACAGGAGCTCGACTCATTGCGTCAACGTGAGCCATTAAATTACCTGGGCGATGACTTGACGTATAATCATATTCGAGCAATTTTAACAGCCATCTTGCGACTCGTGGAATCATTGGTGTTACTGTTTTAATACTGGAAATAGCTGAACAATCCGTAAAGATTTTAAAATGTTTGTCCAAAAGATACATTCGAAAACATTGACATGCTTCAACTACCGCTAAAACCTCTAATTCATATCCATGATATTTACTTTCAACATCTGTACATAATCGACTGAAATATGCTGTCATATTTCATATGTCATATGTCATATGTCATATTTTCCCAAAAGCGGCTCATTAGCTAACAATTCAATTAGTTTGAGGAAAGCACTTTCAGATTCCGATGACCATTTAAAAGCAATATTCTTTCTCGTTAACTGTGTTAACGGATGAGCAATTTGTGCATAATTCTGAACAAATTTCCTGAAGTAACCTGTAAGTCCCAAGAAACGTCTGACTTCTGTTACATTTGTTGGTATAGAAAATTGTTTTATCGCAATGGTTTTAGTTATACCAGGTTTTATACCATTCTCGTCGACTTCATGACCTAAAAACGATACACTGCCTTTCATAAAATAACATTACGATAGGCGTAAGGTCAATCCTTCATTACGAATAATTTTCAAAAATTCTTCTAAATTCTCAAGCCCTTCTTGTGCTGTTTCAGATGCCACAATGACTTCATCAACATAACTAACCACCTTACCTTTCAGCGGTTCCATAAGTTTCATCATCATCTTTTAAAATACGCACGGAGCATTTTTGAGGCCAAATGGCATTCGGTTAAACTCGTAGTGACCATTATGGGTGACGAACGCTGTCAGCTTTTTCGATGATTCAGCAATTTCAATCTGATAATAACCTGACATCATATTTAAAGTTGTGAAAAATCTTTTTCCCGCAAGAGTTGATAGAACACCATCTACTGTAGGCATTGACCATGGCTGTTTTTCCGTTACAGCATTTAATGCCCTGTAGTCGATGCATAAACGATCTTCACCATTCGATTTCGGTACAAGAACAATAGGAGACGAGTATTCTGAAGTTGATGTTCGAATAATGTTTAACTCTAATAATTCGTCAACAATTCGTTCCACGACACGTTGTTTAGGAATTGGTATGCTGTAAGGCTTTTTTGTTATCGGCGTTGGAGATGTAACCGCAATCTCCATTTTCGTTGTTTTCGCCTTACCAAGTTCATTTAGATTTTCGCCAAAACAATCATAATAGTTATTTAATAAATTACGCAACTCATTTTGTTCGTTTACCGATAAATTCTCGTTGCACTTAAAATTTTCGGGTGTTATCGCAAACACTTGACAGTTTCCATTTTCAATCACAACGCGACATTTGGACAATAAGTCAATACCGATAATAACGTCATATGCCATGGTATCATCTTCGACCACTAGCATTTCGCACTTGTACTTTTGTTCATCAATAGTTATTGACAACTTATCTGTCTTTTCGGAACACAAATTTATTAGTTTGCATTTCAATATAATGGCTATATTACGCTTAATTATTGACACACCACTGCCTGAATCGATCAAAGCGTTACATAAGATATTGTTTATACATATTTGTTTAATTATAATACCAGGTTTTTCAATCGCATTTACTGGATTTCGTTTATTACACGTTTTTGTGTCATGGTTTCCTGAACACATTGAACAACGCGGCTTTCGTTGCGGTTTTGGACAATTTTTCGAAATGTGCCCATACTCCCGACAATTATAACAAACCGGTCCCGTTTTTACCACACGAGTTACACTGGAGTCACTGTTATTTTTATTCGGCATATATTGATTATCATTGTAACGTACTGCTGGTCTTCGTACGCTTACATTACTGTTCTGCAACGACCGCACAAAATCTGAGCAATTTTTAAATTACATAGCAGATAATGTCTTCCGCAACCCGTAGTCATACAACCCGATGGTTACATATCTTATGACCACTTGGTCTTCGAGTTGTCCGCGGCGTCCAATAGTTTACATTCGATAGTAGTACTCAACAACGCTTTCATTTTTTCTCTGCTGATTGCCCATTAACTGCATATGAATATCAGCAGCATTCAAAACACACGGAAAATCATTTAAGAATGCGACCACAAATTCACCCCAGCTACGAAATACTGGTTGCGAATCGATCCACAATTTTGCGGCACCTCTCAATTTACTTCTTATAGCAAATAGAATAACATAGTCATTCCACTGGTATGCATTCTTTAATTGCTCAACACTTTGAACAAACTGCACTGATGTGACGTCATCACTGTTGTTGTCGAATGGCGGCAAAGCATCTATAATTTCTCTTATATTACAGTAGTTACTCGCACTCTGCATTGCCATAGCAACATTCGAATTCATATTTGTTTCATACTGCAAATTGGTTTGATCTTGTCTGTTCTGCATGTACGGTGCGTATTCTGCTGACGGAGCAGCTACAGCTATGTTCGGCGCGATCAACGGCGACTTTTGCACACACTCAGGGATTGAAAAGATTACTGGCGCCGACGTAGACGCATTAGGCATATTCATTACATGTGACGCTGGCAGAGGCCACACTGTGCTTGTTGATGCACACGAATATTTATTCATGTATTGGTTAGGTACAGTTATCGAAGGCAAAGAAACACTCACTGTATCTGTTGTAGTTGTAGTTTGACTTGTTGCATGTAGAGCAGTATTCGGCACAAAATACTTATTCGCATTTAATTCCGGCATCGACGTCGCCACCGCATTGATAGGCTGTATTAATGACTCCAATGTCCGCTGGAGACGCAATACTTCGGCTTTCAATTCCAAAACGGTGGTGTTTTCGTTTGCCGTATTAACATCGGCGACACTTTGTTTCTCCTGATCATTATGTTCATGCAATTGCGTTTTCAAATTACTTTCCTTTACAGAAGGAAAATCATCCAAGTCAATTGCATTTCCCATTGTGTTCGAATCCATTATTTTCACTAATAACTGTCTACACTTATTACCATTAAATTATTATTTGCACACTTTATTTTAAATCCCACTTCTGAATTTGTCGGATATTTCTTACATTAATGCACTCCGAGAGCGTAACACTCATGAGAGCATGAAAAGATGCATAAGAGCAATGATACTAGAAGTAACAATCAAGCAATAAATAAAAGTAAAAATATCAAAAGAGTGACACTAATAAACAAATCTTTGTCAAATTTTAAAATAGATATAATAACTACGATTGAGCGAATATATGGTCAAATATTCAAATATCTTTACTATAAAAAATAATAAGTTTACTAAACATTTTCAAAAACAAATCAATGTAACTACTAATTAAGTTCTACATAAAAATTCATGAAACCCAAACAACAAAAGCAACCACTTATAGTTAAATATAAAACGTAACAATAGACAATATTACATATCTAAATTAAACAAAAAACAATTGTAATTAATAATCATTTAAAGATGAACCATCCAAAATTTTAAGATAATAATATATATTGTAAATCATAATGAAGAATTTAAACTTGAAAAACCGAAACATAATTTCAAGATCAACTCAACGCTTTATTACCTCAGCAGCAACACTCTTGGAAACAATCATCATCATCGTGTACGACAGTCATAAACTGAGCAGACGCATAAAACAGTCCAGACGTAAACAAATCTTTCAAAACCTAGACGTAAACAAAATTCTTCAAAACACACTTGGTGGGAATTGTCGGTAAAGAGTTTACCAGTAAATATCGTAAAATGTAGAACCTTTGAAGTTTAAGAGTTTTTAGTTTTAAGCTAGTTTTAAGTTTTTATATTGTTTGCACGGTGAACGCGGTCGGATGTGAATTCCGTCGAATAATAAATAAATATATTTTTTAATACAACCGTAATTACAATATAATTAATTTGCATATTAAATCTATATTAATTATTAATCTTTGTGACAAGGTCATTTAAATTAACACTCCGACACGAATGATACATTTGTATATCATCAGCATATCCATGTAGCTTCGAAAATTGACATAATGAGAAAACGTCATTAATATAGATCAAAAATAGCAATGGGCCCAAAATCGAGGCTTGAGGAACCCCAGAAAACAGATGTTCAAAGTTTGAAAATTTATTATCAATAACTACTGACTGAAATCTCTCAGTTAAATAACTAAAAATAAATTTAGAAGCTGATCTGGAGAAATGAAACTTATATATAAGCTTTTTAAAGAGCAAAGCGTGATCAACTTGATCAAATGCTTTTGCAAAATCGAGAAGACATAAGTAAGTAACAAAATCACTATTATAACTCACTTTAATATCTTCTAGAACTTTCAACATAGTAGACGCACAACTATGATCTTTTCTGAAACCAGATCGATAGGGAGATAGCAGATGGAAAATGTTTAGATGATTACGAATCTGTTCAGACATTATAGTCTCACGCACTTTGGAAAGAGAAAGAGGAATACTGATAGGATGGTAGTCAGAAACTGATGAAGCATTGGCTTTTTTCTCAATTGGTATAACTTTAACTTGTTGCCATACCACTGGAAAAATAGAGGTAGTAATACAAAAGTTTATAATATGACTTAATGGAGATATTATGAATGGTAAAATGAGCTTTATGAATTTAAGAGTGATTTCATCTAACCCAATAGCATTGGACTTAATACTCATTATATTCTTAAAAACAATATCTTTACTGACACAGTAAAAGCTAAAGCCTTCATTAGCGTCAACAAAATCAATATCTAGGAACACTGAAGAAGAGCTACCATTATCATCTACAGAACAAACAAAGAAGTTATTTAGAGCATTTGGCTCCACATTGCATATATTTTTACTTTTTCATATAATCCCAAGCATTTTGATATTATTCCAAAGGGTTTTAGTAGATTTAGTACAACCAAACTTAGATTCGTAGTAATCTGACTTAGCCGTATGAACAGTTCTAGCAGCTACATTTTTAGCAATTCTAAACTTCATCCAGTTAAATTCAGTAGGGTACTTTTTCCAGACTGCATATTTTCTATTTCTTAAATTTATAAAATGTTTTATTCTAGCATTAAACCATGGGCAAGAGACATTATTGACGGTTATAGAACGAAAAGGTACATAGCGATGACGAAGGCTAAGCAATTTCTTATTGAATGCATCGAATTTTTGATCAGCTGAAATACCAGACCAACATTCATTCCATTCAGTTGAATTAAGTTCACAAAATAATCCCACTGAATCAATTGACTTATAATCCCAAAAAGAAAATCTAGTTGAGATGGGTTTTTTAGTTTTCTTGAAGTCAAGCGTAATAAATAGTAGGTCATGATCTGAAACAAATGAAATCTGTTCAAACAACAACAATTTGCTTATATCAGAAACTGCAATTATGTCCAGAAGACTAGGCTTAACATTATTGGCATATATAGTAGGTATGTTACTATTGACTATACTTAAGCTCGATATGGCAATAAGATCATTTAAACGGGAAACATTACCACAGTTTGAGAGTAGATCATTATTGAAATCACCAAGAAGTCAAAATTAAGCGCAATGGGTTGCAGTGTATCAAAAAAGGGATCGCAACTGAAGCACTTGTGTGAATTATACACATACCCAACCAACATTTTCTGAAAACCAATATTGATGCTTATGATAAATTCAATGTCGGACTCACCAGACACACATACCAAATTACTTTTTAAATGAGACTTGCAGTAAATTGCCACCCCGCCTCCTCTCCTTTGCTTCCTATCATG